AAAATAAAAAAGCATGTCTGTTGACATGAAACATAAAGCATACAGGTGGGGTTGTGGAGACAAAGGGTTATGTAGCTATAGAATAAAGTGGGTAGGAAAATGATAAAGTGAAGTGACAAGTCAGTGTGCCAAGTAATGAGAGTCACTGTTTAGTATTGCATGGCAGCAGTACAAAACCAATATTCATCAACTTATAGTTCATAAACGATAATGGCAATAGTGATATAAAATCAAACAGGTGTCATGAGGTATTCAAACCAGTGCTTGAATTAACACTCATCAAAACCGGGATGCTAGAAACACACACTACATCCTGTCGCACGTGCAGCATGCTTTCTCGTTTATAAAGTCCCAACATAAGTGAAGTGTAATATGCGGCGATATAGAAGTCCATTAAGAATGAAAATAGACAAACATTGTATAAGATAATAACGGAAAATACTAATTAAGAGATCCTGTAATGGTGGCAAGAAGAATTGACAGGTACTTGTGTATATCATTTATATACACACTCGCAGCACTGAAGGAAAACGAAACTCTATGGATAGTCAACTTCTTTCTTGCAATGAGTGCGACGTTTCAGTGTAGGTACAAACACCGTCATGAAGCAAGTGATACAAAGAGTTGTAACATGAAGAATATATACATAGCTGCACAGTGAGTATATACAGATAAGACGGCTACTTCAGCAACAAGCAGAAATAGACGTTCTGTTCCAGAAAGGCAAGTCCATCCAAAACCTCCTCTAAGCCACAGGCAAACCCCCATTAACAACTAAAGAAGACCCCACAGGAGTAGCCAACCAGATCAATTGCTAATGTGGAGACTCTTATATAGGTACAACGTCCCGCCCTCCCCCACTACGAATTAAAGAACACAAAACTTCAGTCCAGAAAAAAAGACTCCAAATCCGCAATAGCCGACAACACCCAAGCCAACTTTGACTATGCCATCCTTTGGAACAACATCCACATCCTGGAAACCAACGGAGCAGATAACAAGGTTAAAAAACTTGAAGCCATGAAAATCAAACGCTTCAACCCCACCATGAACCGGGATTAAGGTAATTTTATCTCCTCGGCCTATCACCATCTAATGAAAGATCACCAGTAATCCACCCATACCTCGTCCAATACCCGCTTTTGTGTATTGTAATCACAACCAATTGATGTGTACATCAACCAACTCTTTAACACACTATTACCATCTCATTGTAATCAACTCATCTATTGCATAAACTCATTCTGCATATTGTTTTAATCACTATCACTCTGTACATCAACCTACTCTGCTCAAATCACTTATTAGCAACCAATGATTATGAACCTTGTCAATGGTATATAAACACCATGCAGCTATGTATATATTCTCCATGTTACAACACTATGTATCACTTTCTTGATAACGGTGTTAGTACCTACACCGAAACGTCCCACTCATTGCAATAAAGAAGTTGACTATCCATAGAACTTGGTTTTCCTTCATCCATACAACTCCATATAACTGAGTGAGTTAAAATTTAAAGTCACATCGGCAGTATTTCAGCCATATTGTGACTAGGAAAGTTGTAAATTTATAAATAAATAAAAACAAAGTTATATAATATACTTACCTGGCTGCAAAGGACAGTAGAACAACTAGATTGCCACATAGATACGTTTAAAACTAGCAATTAAATCTAAATATTTTAACTGTAAATGACAATACAATAACAGACCGTATATTACAACAACTGAAGGTAGATCACCATAATAGGGACCAGGAGGACTTACAGTACATTTGCTTCCTCCCCCCATTTACACCCTCCCTTCAGCCATAGGCAATTTTAGATAATCTAGCCATCAATTAAAAGAACACATACACTACAATTGTAAGTCAAAGCAGATTTAAAGGACAAGGTATGATAAAGGCCCTTATTGGCCCACAAAATTTCATGATATTCAAAGTTCTACAACATGATAATTTTAGCATAAAAAATGCTAAATAAATTGTTGAAATTACCTCCATATGCCTTTTTTATGATTTAGTGCTGTTTTTTTCCTCTTTGAAGACCTCAACGTTGACCTATTTTACAATATCTTCGAAAAACCTACATTTTCATACTTTCAGAGTGACAAAAAAAGTGTGAGCAAAAGCATGACCCATCCCAATTTTTTCACCGCACATAAAGAGAGTAAATTAGAATGCACTCCTAAAAAATTGTGGTGGGTCACGCTTTTGCTCATATCAAAATGTTTAAAAAAGTACATTTTTCTGGTATATGAAATTGCCCCATACATCATCTCAAAAGTAAACATTGGCGTAAAGTAATATCTCTGAAAACTATCCGTCACATTTACACAACTTTACCAGATTCATTATTTATTTTGAATGTTTTAGAGCACTAAAATGAACTTATCAAGCATGTTTATTAAAAAGTTCAATATCGTAAGGGACTCTCAAGGCTGATTACTTTGAGGTAAACAAGGGTAGTTTTTTGGAGACCCTGTTGATCTCTGTTGGAAAAGTAAGAAGACATCAAAAGATTTTTCAAAATATGATCAGGCAGCATTCTAAAGGTGAGAATCTTTGTAATTATGCTAGAATTTTATCATATTTGTTCTATCATGTTTAGCAAACCCCTCTGTGTCAACTGGCACTGTCAAATAACACTGGCATTCCACAGGATGTAACTGTGTATAAACATACACATTTTAACAAAGATAATGTACCTTGATGTTTTCTAGGATATATTAGGCTACATTTAATATTGTTAGAATAAGAACATTGTATCAAGGTCTAGCAGATGATGAAAAGCAAGCAGACGCCAAGTGACACATTGTTGCATGGTGTAATATATAAGCTTAAAGTGACAAGATTTAATAGTAGAACTTGTAGCCTAGTAGTTGCAGTGATGGTCTGTCAATTTTTTTCTGTTATCAGACATGCAGGTTCAAATCCTGATGGGCTTTTTTTCTTTTCTTTTTTTTCTCAAAAGTTTGGTCAGCCAATGTACAATATTTAACTTAACTTGTACATATGAAATCCAAATTTTATTTAAAAACATTTCTTAAGTTTGGTAATGTAAGTTACACTGTTCAAACAAACTTGAATTAACATCATGTAAATCTTGTTTAAGCCTGAAGACACTGACTTTTCCATTCTGTCTCACTGCCTTTGTTGCCACACAATAAAGAACCTGGAGAAGGTAAGCATTGTTTCAAAATGTTAGTATGGTAATGTCTTTAAGTAAATATTTACAAACTGTCCAGAGCTGTTAATTAGTGGTGTACTGATGAAACAAATAATTAGTTTATGGATATTTTGTGGGCTGCCAGTCAATTACCGATAACCAAAACACATAATCAATTAAAGCGTTCACTCTATCTTCTTAAAAATATGTTTACAGAATCAATGACTAGTGGTTTCAATTGTCATATTGAAACTGACAACTGATTACCTTTGTTTTCATGTGCTCTGACAGTTTGTTTATCTTATATCTATAATTGATCAAACGGTGGCCTCAACAATTGATTCTGCTATTGGAGGTCAATTCCCTTCCCTATATAACTATACTATTGACATATTTAGCATTAGAAAAATTAGAAAGCACCAATTTCTTGAACATAATGATAATTCTTTTATGATTTCAAATATTTGTTTTCAGACAAGAGAAATATGCTTGGACAGATTTCAGGAGTGTCATTTCATGAAGATGACAACTTAAAACTTGAGGTTGAAGGTAAGCATAATATGTGTGTTAAAAAATAATCAATATTATTTTTTTTCAATTTTCTAATTTAATGTGACAGAATTTCAGAAATACTGATGCCTCAGTGGTGATTAACTCTGCATAAGCCTTCAAAGCCAGACTACTGACATTTGAAAATAAATAAGTAATGTTACCCTTGAATATATTTATAATATCAAAGTTTTTAAAACAGAATTCTCTTTTGATATAAATTCATCTGTTTTTCAGTTGAGAGAAGATCTGGGTATGGCAGACACCAAGACAATATGCCTGTTTCCAGCAACTCTAGTGATACACGGTTGAATGCTGCAGTTTTTGACAGTGATTCAGAAACTGATTCAGAGATTGATGACCATGTGGATGAAGAGTGAAAGTGGATGTTTTATATATCTTTGCAGTGAATGAGTTGTGAATAATTACTTTTTGAAGATTTTTGAATACTGACTTTTAACACTTACTTGGTGTCAAAATAAAGCTGTGCCAAGAATGTAATTTCACCCGAAATGGGCCCCCTTTGAGGTCAAGACCTGATTTTTAGTGCAACGTGATTGATTATTGTAACAACATGTTGTGAATGAGATGTTTACTGTATATTTGCAAGAATGTTGTAAATACTGACTTTTAACACTTGCATAGTGTTAAATCAAGCTGTGCCAAGAATGTAATTTCACCTGAAATAGGCCCCTTTGAGGTCAAGACCTGTGACTTTTAGTGGGACATGATTGGTTATCATAAGTACATGTTGTAAGATTGACCTACTGTTTATATTTGCAAAGAAAATAATGAGTTTTTTTGTAATCAGTTGGCAAGTAATTGAATTACTGTCCACAATGTAATGCAACCCTAATTGGGCCCCTTGAAGTTAAAACCTTGTGATTGATGTTGACATGTTTCTTCATCATGAATACCTGTTGTCAAACTGATACTATTTGTATGTAAATAAACTGATAGTTGTATATAAGTCATTATGGCACACTGATATTTCAGACTTCTTGTTATTGTTCATGGGAACTGATAAAACCCATTTTGGGCCCCCATGCATTGAAATTATGGCCTCAGATCATTTAAAAAATAGCTTTTTAATGCAAAGCTATCTTGTCTCTAAACAAATAACATGTGTTCAGCCAATTCTGTTTGTGGGCCAAAAAACACCCTTATCATACCTTGTCCTTTACTTTGAATGCTTTGGAACTTACGCACCCTCTCAGGAGGACAAAAATATTTACAATACGCCTCTCAAAGAGGTTACTCGCAGCACTGTACAGTGTTTCGGCCTCGTAACGATGCCATAATATGTATACGTCAGTGCAGTGCTACTGATACCATGCACCGATTAATAAAAGCCGATTATTAGATATTAGAAAATAAAACTGATGCAACAGAAGTGGGACACCCAAGTAGTTATCAAGAACATACATGAAATTAACCTAACTATGATTTTTAGATTTTAAAGTCATATTAGGACGATGTCGTATTGGTCCTTCAAGGCATGCACATAAATATTTGTTGAAAAATATCGTTCATTCTATATCCCTTCTGACGCAATGACTCACGGTCGAGCATGCCCTGTTTGACTGTATTGAAGTTCCAATCACAATGGATACAAAGTTCAAAATCATCTTCTCTCAAGGATTTTTAAATAGAAATATTTCTAACTTTGTTATTAAACTGCTTCATAAATGTTGATGCTATATTATGCATAGGTAGAATCTGACGGTTCTGCTGGGGAATCGTGCACCACAGTCCCCAGTACCGTGTGTTAAATTTGCTTACCGCTTTCATACTGTGTTGCTCATTATAAGCTATCAGATTAGTTGTAAATGATAACTGTCATTAGCTAGTAGCTATGCTCTGCTTCAACGACGGGATTTTTACACCGTTGAAATATAATTGTAATAAATGTATAACAATGTCACGCACGCACGCACGCGCGCACTCACGCATGCACTCCTACAGTTGCCGCAAGCACAAAGCTTTTGTAACACATAGAGCTAGGCTGGCTTAAGATTGGAGCGGCTAGGATCACAGTATATTTGTGATCACCATCGTGGGACAATACGCCGATCCCCGTACAAAACATACCACAGTCTTAAAACAGTATTCGTGATGAGGAAAACCAAAAAACGCCCAAAGAAAGATCCAAGCACGTTCTGTCTTGAAAACCAATGACTTCAATCGAATCTGAATACTTTCACAGCGTTCCCACAGGTAACATACAGGAAGCCGTCTGTGTCCAAACATATTCCACAAGGGTGACCTATACCATCCTGTGCTGTGAGAACGTCTCTGACAAACTGCCCTGACTCTGTCAGCTGAATCACCTTGTGGGAGTCTTTGTCTGCAAGCAGGATGTCTCCTGTGCTGGTTGTCGTGATGCCTTGAGGATATTTCAGAGATCTGTCCCCTGTGGGAGTGTAGGTGAAAACAGCTTCTCCTTCCCTGGTCACAGACACAAGGGAGTCAAATACTCCATTACTGAGTATCAGGTTCTGATTTCCGGTGACATGGATATAGGAGGGAATGGATACCTTTCCCGTCTTGATAGATTTCAGCACATTCCCTTCCAAGTCCAATATATCAGTCCAGCCTGTTGCCCCTGCCACCAGCCGTGAAGGACTCAGACAACCTAGTCCGAAGTAAGGTCTGTTTGTTTTGATAGTTGACAGTATTACAGGATGTGGGTAAACTTTCACTGTAACTATTTCATTACTGCCTGGAACACTAACAGCTACTTGCCAGTTAGTTAACTTCATTAATCTGCAAGGTGTATCAGAAAGCTGAATGTATTTAGGACAGTGTATGGCAGATGTGTAATATATGTTAAGTCTCTTGCTATTACAATCAACAACCACAACAACCTCCTTTACACCATCAACAGCCAACACTGCCAAGTCATGAAGAGCTGGATCTGCCATGTCATGTCCTTCCATACAGTCAATGGTTTGATACAAGGTTGGGATAGATTCACGATCTTGGACGATTTTAACATCGCCCAGATTAAGTTCATCAACTGCTTTACTGAGTTTGTCAATGTTGCGTGTGAATACGACCCTTCCTGGTGCTGGTCTGTTGTCCGTGATTCTACTGTCTAAAGATGTCTCACAAACAGATTCATAGACGGCATACATGTCCATCTCACAGCTGGACGTCACAGAATTGACAGTGAACTCATACTGCTGCTGGTACATCTGAAGCTCGATCTCACTGGATTCTATATCTGTTTGTATTTGGTGTAAGTATTCAGTACAAGATTGATCAACATCATGTAGAAGTTGTTTTTCTTTTTTCATAATTAATTCTACCACCTTCGCTCGCGTATTTCTTATTTGACTTTTAGTTTCTTCTATCTTGTTTCTGAAGTTGTCACCGTGCTTCTTATTTAGAGAAATGCCATGTTTAATGTTTCCGATTCTGAGATTTAGTTCCTGGTTCCGCTTTGTCAACTGTTCTTTGACTTGAGGGGTTATATTCTCAATGGTATCAACGTCATCGCACTTCCTGTGGTTTATACTGTAGCATATCGTACATATGGCCATTTTGCAGTCTTTGCAGAAGAGCTCGATCTGTTTGCTGGCGTGATGTTTGCATATGAATGGGCGCTTTGTTGTCATTTGGAAGGTGGTGGATTCAGATAAAACAACGACTTCATGGCCACTGCATTCTCCAGTCTCAGGAGCTAAATATAATGAAGATATTTGTTAGCCGGTAATGAAATCAGTATTTTATATATTGTTTTGATTGTTTCCACAGGTATTAGTCGTGTTTGTAATATACATTCAGTTAAAATCCAGCTATCTGATGGCAGTCTGTAATTAATCGACAAGTTGACATCATCACATCAATATAACTTGAAAAAGTTTTTATGCTTTGTTTATTTTCAATACAACACATTATCCACTCTCTATAGATGTTAGACGACTCGGTGAAGGTCTAAAACACCTTTAGGCCTTAAGTTACATTCATATATATCAGATTATAAATGTTACAAAAACAATTGGGAAAATTATCCACATGCCAAAAGCCACATACTGAACATCACTGAAAACGTACCACCTGTAAATTTGAAATATGGTAATAGGATTGTTTTGAGTGTGAAAATGAACGTTGGAAATGTTGGTAATAACACAAAAGACAATAAATAATGCTGTACAGAAAGACCGGATTGCCCGAACACATAATGAAACACATAACATGACAACAACAAAATCCATGCACAACACACACAAAAAGCACAAATTGCATGCGCAAAACATGCTGATTAGGGGGGTATAATGACCGTCGGCAAAAAAACCCGTTCTCGTTTTAGCCGTACCTCCACAAGTAAAGTTTATTTTGCAATGTCAAGATTGTCACCAGAGGAACGAGAACGGGCGTTGGGCATGTTTCAGGTTGGCACATGAAGCAGGATTATTGCCAGACGATTTGGTTGCCATAATTCCACCACTATAAGACTTGCCAACAGGTACCAACAAACAGGAACCACCAGGGACCGCCAACGTCCTGGCCAGACACGTGTTACCACCCTCGTCAAGATCGAGACATTGTTCGGCGGCATATTTGGGATCGTACGTGGCCGTCTGCCAGAACCGCCAACGCTGTCCAAGGCCGACGTGGTTTGATCAGTGTTTCCACCGTCCGACGCCATCTCCGTGCGGCAGGATTACGGTGTCGACGCCCTTATGTTGGACCCATCCTGATTGATAGACATCGCCGTGAACGCCGAGGATGGTCTGAACAGCATCGTTTGTGGTTGTTACGACGTTGGCATGGTGTTGTGTTCTCCGACGAGTCACGTTTTCACTTGCGAAATGCTGACGGGCGTCTACGGGTATGGCGTCGACGGGGAGAACGTTACCATCAGGACTGTGTTGTGCAAACAGATCGGTTGGGTAGAGGCAGCATTATGGTGTGGGGAGGGATCACTAATCATCACAAAACCGCTCTGGTAGTTTGTCGTGGCACAGTAAATGCCCTTTACTACCGTGACACCATTCTTCAGAACAACGTCGTTCTTTTCTTTAACCAACATCAAGATCTGCACACATTCCAGCAGGGCAATGCTCGAGCGCACACTGCACGTGTTGCAACACAGTTTCTGGCAAACAACAACATTCCTCTACTTCCATGGCCTGCATTGTCACCAGATTTGTCTCCCATTGAACACTTGTGGAATTACATCGGCCAACGCCTCTCACGTCGCCCACAGATCAACAACCTTGGGGAACTTGAGAGTGAGTGAGTGAGTTAATATTTAACGTCACATCGGCAATATTTCAGCCATATTGTGACGACAAAAAAGTTATGTACTAAGAATAAACATATGTATACTAATTTAAAAACCTGCCAGCGAAGGACAGTATAACGACTAGAATATCACAATTGGATTAAAACTAGTTTGAGTTCAGTGTAAAATGTTCAATCATTTCAAAACATCACAATATAAAATCGGGCTATAGATCGCCAACAACTAAAGGTAGATCACCATACTAGGGATCATGGGGACTTACATTACTTTTGCTACCTGCATGAGCCGTAGCTGGATTTACACCATCCCCTCAGCCGCTGGCGATGGAAGGGAATTTAGCCATAATTTAAAATAACAAATATTCTACGTTTAAAAAAGCATGCTTGAACTAAATTGACTTTGAAAGTTTTGGGACGTACGTATCCTCTCAGGAGGACAATAATTTTACGATACTTTAACCCCCTTTGAGGATACAGCCACTAACAATCGCAGTTTGCTAATTTATACTACCATTGATAATAAATGACATTTATCTATTTACAAAACATATTTCTCAAAATTTATCTAATAATTCAATTTCTTTTAAAAATGCGATAATTAAATGAGAATGTACATTATAAAAAAGATCCTTCATTGTTTTGACACTGAAATATTTATCCCTTGTGATGGAAAAATCAATACAGTCAAGCAGGACATGCTTGACTGTGATTCCCTCATCACAAGGGATGCAAAATGGAGGATCCTCACCTTTAAGTAAATACTCATGAGTGTATCGAGAATGGCCAATACGGCATCGTCGTAGAATGACCTCTTCAAATCTGGACCGACAACCCAAGTAGGTGTAACCGATAGTTGGTTTTATTGCATGTAATTTATTGATACCTACTTGGGTGTCCCACTTCTTCTGCATAAGATCCTAGATGTAACTTCTTATAACTGGTTTATAATCACTGTAAGGTATTAGAAGTGGTGTCACAGATTTGTTGAGAGCGGCGTTTGCAGCAGAGTCGGCCACTGTGTTACCAGTGATTCCAACATGGCTGGGTAACCAACAAAAGACAATGTCGCATTGGCCAGTAGCAAGAGTATTATGTAGTTCTATTATGTCAAGTAAAACAGGATGCTGACACGAATTGTTTTTTAATTGCTTGAAGACAAGACAGCGAGTCCGAAAAAATAATAAAGTCCTTATGTTTAGACTGTTTGATATATCTGAGGGCAGTTAAAATGGCCTTTGATTCGGCTGTAAATATGGAAGCGTGATCTGGTAATCTAGTTGATGATGTTTTGGATCCAATGACAGTGGCACAAGCAACTGCGCCACCATCCTTGGATCCATCTGTAAATATAGATTTATATGTATTATATGTACTTCTTAATTGATTATATTCTTGTTTATACTGTAACTGATTTTTTTCTGATTTCTTTAGTTTGGTTAATGTCAGGTCAACTCTTGGCTGGACCAACTGCCAAGGTGGAGAAGAGAGCAGACGGAAAGCAGATATGTTAGTGAGTGCAATATTAGCAGCTAAAATAAAACGTTGAATTCGTATTCCCAGAGGTGGAATTAGCGATGACTTTTTTTACCGTAAAGATCTTCATACAGAGGATTAAACACACAATTGTAAGCAGGGTTAGACTTATTAGTATATAACTTGGTTATGTACTGTAAAGAGAGTTTAATTCGGCGTTGTTTTAGGGATGGCTCGTCAGCTTCAACGTAAAGACTGTCAATAGGTGAAGTTCGGAAAGATCCAAGACATAGTCTCAGACCTTGATGGTGAATAGAATCAAGCACTTTAAGATTACTTTTACAAGCTCCACCATAAACGATGGAACCATAATCAAGCTTGGAACGAATCAATGATAACCATAACCCATGTTATGAAGATCTGTTAAAATTCCATGTTTCCAGGTGGTATCATAAGCTTTCTCTAAGTCAAAAAAATATAGATACGGTGTGTTGTTTATTAATAAAACCATTCTTCACAAAAGTTTCCAGTCTAACCAAATGGTCAATGGTACTTCTGTTTTTCCTAAACCCACATTGGATATCGGTAATCAGTTCATTTGTTTCTAAGTACCATATTAGTCTGTTATTGACCATTCGTTCCATGGTCTTACAAACACAACTAGTAAGCGATATTGGCCTATAGTTTGAAGGATCAGTGTGATCGCGGCCAGGTTTCGGTATAGGAACGACGACAGCATTACGCCATGATGAAGGAAAATTCCCCGTTGTCCAGATGTGATCGAATATATTTAATAAAGTTTCTAAACAGGAATCAGGTAAATGTTTAAGTAACTGATAATGAATATTATCAGAACCTGTAGCAGTATCATGAGCTTGCCCCAAGGCAGTATGCAGCTCATGAATGGAGAAAACTTCATTATAGTCCTCCCCATTATCTGAAGCAAAATTGAGTTTCTTTTTTTCTGCGTGTTTTTTTAGTTTTTTGAAATTTCGGTGTAAAATTTGATGAAGATGAATGTTGAGCTAACGTTTCTCCCAATTTATTTGCTATGTCAGGTTTATTGGTTAAGAGTGTGTCACCATCCTTCAGATGATGAACACCAGATCTTGAACCTTTACCTTTTTTATCCTTTGCACCATATTCCAAACTTTGGACATAGGTGTTCGAGAATTAAGTTTGGACACATAGTCCCGCCAAGACTGCCGTTTGGGGAACTTGAGAATGCCTTGCAACAAGAGTGGAATGCATTGCCTCAAAACATTATTCAGAGACTTATCAGTTCAACGAGGAGACGTGGCACAGCTTGTATTGCTGCTAAAGGTGGTCATACACGTTTCTGACTTTCCAATTTAACTCCATTTCTTTCATGGTCGGCTGAATTAAAACTTTACTGTTTTGTTGGATTGGTTCTTGTTTCTTTTCTTTACCAATCATTGGACTACAAAAGGATGTAAGTATGTAAAATTTACACCAATTGCTTATTTATGCTCTTGGAAATCCTAATACAGGGGGGTGCGTTTTCAATGATGTTCAGTATATATAAACACGTTGTGTAACATACAGTAAAACATTCACCTTCTGTCCCTGGTCCAAAATCGTCCATCAGACTCTGTATGACGTGGCTTGGTTTCAGCTGACTTACCCTCTCCTCCACTGGACTGTCAGGGTTGGCCACCTTTGTCTGTTGTCTACAGGAGGGACATGGGATGGACGTGGCTTGTATTGCTTCAGACTGGGTTTTGGTGTATTTCAGCAGACAGGACTTACAGAATGTGTGATTACACTGAAGTGTGGCAGGGTCTGTGAACACCTCTGTACAGATGACACAGGTCAGGTGGTTGTCTGTCAGCTTCTTTGCGGTCGCCATCTGAAACAAGTGAGAAAATGTCACAGGACCCAAAACAGAAGAAAACGATGTGAAATGATTGAAATTGATCCTCTCCCTATTTTGTAAACCAAACAGAAGCAATTATGATTTGTGGTTGACGTAAAATGAAATTAATGTAAGATCCTAACGTGTTGTGTACACAAAGTTGTGCTTCAAAGTCGATTACAGGTTTAAAAAAACCTGCATTTTAGTTTTCCGATTATCGTATGTGATCTGCTGCCACCAGGACTATCCAAATAGCATTATTGTTGAAATAGACATGTTCACTCCGTTTACTGGAAATGAGTATCTTTTTAGTGTCTTTTAATTTGTAACTACGCAGGAAAGTAATTTATTACTTCTTGTTTTCTAATAGTATATTCATGACGAGTAAATCGCAACTCGCAGTTTGCGCGTTTCTGCTGATGAAAGGGAAGTAACTCTTATCAAATACCTAACAGCGTCATTTAACCACCTGAATACATGCAATTCATGTACACTATGTTATTGTCAGTTTTGACAACTCTGTCTATGAACACTTACATATACCACTCTCCTCCTACCACCACCACCACCACCACCACTACTACTACTACTACTACTACTACTACTACTACTACTACTACTACTACTACTACTACTACTACTACTACTACTACTACTATCACTACTACTACTACTGGTGCTGCTGCCGCTGCTGCTACTACTACCACAACTTGCAAACACTACTCCGTTACCGCTACTCTGCTTCTACTACCAATACTACCCCTTCCAGTTTCATCAACAACCACTACTACTACCTTTACTGCTACTACAGCTACTACCACTACTACTACTACTACTACTACTACTACTACTACTACTACTACTGCCCTACAACCGTGACGATCCGGGTTAGAATTGGTCTTTAGCAACCTTTGCCTGTCGTAAGAGGCAACTAACGGGATCGGGTTGTCAGGCTCGCTGACTGGGTTGACAGATGGCATCTACACTAATTGCGCAGATTGATGCTCATACTGTTGGTCACTGGATTGTCTGGTCCGGACTCAAATATTTACAGTCCGCCATATGGGTGGAGCATTGCTGAGGGTGGCGTTAAACAACAACCAACGAACCAACTGTCCTACTACTCCAACTTGTACTACCACTAACGATACTGAATGGCTTGTACTTGAGGTTGGAAATCGAAGCAGCGAATGGGGAATATTTGATTACTCTGTGTGTACAAAAGGCGCGGACATAAATTTACATATGAATAACATAGTTCACATACTGACAATTTATCCTTCCTTGCAGCTTCAATGAACAACATGTCCCAACTTTCGCTTTGCCAGATCTTTGTGACCTCGGAGTCACTTTCACATGATCAAACATGCCTCGTCTACCTACTATTTAGTTGAAATTTGTCATGAGTATTCTGGTTTTCTAATTAAACGAATATAAACGTATTATTATGATAACCCACAATCATAATGACCATAGCAGATCACTTGCATTGCGTTTGTATTTCTCTATCTCAAAATGAATGCTAGGCATATGATATGTACGGTTTGTGAAGAGCTCGTGTAGTACACAAATATAATTCGGTATTTGAAAGGTACTAGGTATTTAATGGGATTTACTATTTACACATTGTGACGTTGAATGCCATTTGGTGATTATGTGATTGTTTATCTGTATACCTTGTCACCTACCTGGAATGGACTCACTCGATATCACAGCGGCAGTCTCTCTCTCTCTCTCTCTCTCTCTCTCGAGGCGTTCCACTTCCTGGTTACTCGCCTTGCGCGTGTCACGTCACAGGCTTCGGCCACGTGATCAGTTGCAGTCGGGTGGATTTGTGGGACACATACCGTGTTGTAAACAAACAGCTCATTCATATGTATAATATCTGAGCCGGTAAAGTATTGGCTAAAACGGAAAAGACTTCCATGTTACACTATGGAACAACATTCGTAAAGAATTTGAAGCTAGTTTCTGGAAATCGGTATCACACAAACATACACACACAAACAGAGCGCGGACTGACACACAGGGCGTGGACAGGCAGCCAGGCAGGCAGGCAGGCAGGCAGGCAGGCAGGCAGGCAGGCAGACAGACAGAGACTGACTTCATAATATGTTCTAGTAAACGTTCTTGATATCTTTTCTTAATTTGTACCTAGAAGTAAATTCCCCATGAACCCTAGTGTGGTGATCTACCTTCAGTTGTTGGCAATCTATACCCTGTTCGTATGTTCTGTTGTCCTTTATAGTTTAATGTTTTAGATGTAATTACTAGTATTACATTTATATTTGTGATATTCTAATTGTTTTACTTCTTTTTCATTATTTGTCTTTAATCATTGTAAAACTTTTAATTGATTTAGTCACGATATGGCTGAAAACTGCCAAATTGACTTAAATTTTAACTTACTCACTCACCAACTGTATTTACACACAATTAACAAGGGTTTACACATTTTATAATGTTGCAAAATTAGTCAGTGTCTGTGTAATGTCAGATGAGTAGGACAGACACACAAGACAACATACCATTTATACAGGAATCTCAAGTCTGAAAAAGCTTTAAGTTTCTTGAGAGTAAATAGTATTGAAGATTTATGATGGACCATGCACAATGTGAGATGCAGAAAAAGATACTTGTAGACATGTCTGTGTCATGTTAGGTGAATGGGACTATCTGTTGGTAACATACACAAACACACAGGAACACATGATGGCTCAGTATTCATACATTAAACAGTGAGTGAGTATGGTTTTACGCCGCTTTTAGCAATATTCCAGCAATGTCACGGCGGGGAACACCAACATGGGTTTCACACATTGTACCCATGAGGGGAATCGAACCCAGGTCTCAGCATGATGAGCGGGCTATTTAACCATTAGGCTAGCCCACCGCACCAGACATAAACGAAGGATATTGCAATTCTCTAATGACGTCACCTTTCCTCGTAAGATGTCATTCAGTCCCACATAGTCCACAAATACAGTACTGATTTTAGTAACCATAGATACCTACAGCATATTTGATCGAAAAACATGATTGGTGATATGCCATAGTCCGCAGTAAGAGTATGTATAACATTGTAAGATGTCCAACTGTGTTAGCCAAGGTGAGCATTTTAGTGCTCTCTTATTAACGACCACACCAAACTAACCCTTTGAGTATGGATGCATATGTATTCGCTTTGGTCAGTAACAAAGCGCATTGACAGCATCTTTAATTTAAGTTTTAACATAATAATATAAACGTTTAATTATGAGAAAACATAAGAAGGTAGTACAATTATCAATTTGAATAAGCAGTATCCATAAATAGTTTCACTTCACGTTTCCACTGCAGGGTATATCGTCTCAATTCCCCAAAATCAATTCTTCATAATTCCTGATGAGTGCATTTGACCTACCTTCATTACCTCTACTGGATAGTATATTAAAATGACACTGTATTCATGATAATTGTCCACTGGAACAAAGGTTTTAGTGTAACAGTTTTTTTTATGTTTTTAGATTGATTAACCTTTGCTGTTTTTCGGTTTCATATATAGTTTGAGAGTACACCAGATCTTCGCTAAAGCTCCATATGTCTCCCAGGGAATGAAATAGTACCCAGCTGGGTATGCTGAAGAAAAGAGCAAATTTTGGTGGCATTTTAGAAGCTGCTTGACAATCGTACAAGAACCCACATCGAAAGTCGCACTCAGGAAATATGAGAAGTTTTTATCCACAAACATCATTGAGGAACTTCATCCCCTGACTCCAAATGTGTGAAATCACTCGAGATTATATTTTTACCATGATATACTCTAAGGGACGTAACTCCTGTAAATGCAGCCAAATATAATGAGACAACAGATTCAGAAACATTTCTAATTTTGACACGTAAGGGTACTTTATTCATAGTCACAGTGGCTGATGAAATCCGACGTTAACTCTTCACTCTTAATCTTAACTGACAAAGCACTATACATAAAATATAGCCCGTCCCACTGTCCTTGATGGTCTATTTTTTGAAGGCCCGTCCTTTGAGTCGGGGGGAAATATTTGAAGAAATAAACTGAACTTAGTTTGAACTTTGTCGTAGCAACTGTGTTCTTTCTCGCTGCGAATTATTTTTATTGATGCGACAGAGTTACTTCTCTTTGGCTGTTTACCGAACCTAGTTTACAAGCTCGCTTTCTATTGGCAGGAACAGATTCAGCAATAAACCAATCGTGCTTAGTGATACTATATCACATTATATGACACATAACCATCAAGTTATACTAACTCTTTTCAAGTTACCTCTGTACTATCTAATACAGATACATGATATAATTGGACATTTGGAGAGATGTTAATAATTATTGTGATTAAAATAACATGTTTAATTGTTTTAGTTTGGGGGACTGGCTGTGTTTGTTCAGGACTAGTCCCTTTCTTTGGACAGCCAGTCCTTGGACAGGCCACATTTCAAAACTATTTTGTACACTGCACAGCGTAACAGTTTCCTTGTAAATTGTATGTCTAAAGCGTGTCCGCGTTTATTTACAATGTTGCTTTCAGTTGCACCTGTTTCATTCTTTCAAGTTGGATAAACAGAAAATTACGGTTTGAGTCATTTTCGTTTATCCAGTGTAGTAAAATGATTATAGCAATGTAGCGATATAATTAATTTCTTAATGCGCCTTCTTTCAACAAGAGGTAAGAGAATAAGTTCTGAATATATTTTATTATGACTTGTTCCCCTTGTAGCCCCACATATTGTTCTAAGTACATCAAATGTAATTTTTGAAGCATTTATGCCTGGCTAACCGTAAAGTTATCCCATATACAACTACAATAATCCAATAATGGCAGAAAAAAGTATTCATACATAACGAATACTAGTGTTTGTCTTGATAATCGGTATTTGTAACACCTTAAACAATTTATCATCGGTGAAACTTTATCGAGTACAGAATTGATCTGTGCAGTCCAATTTGCGTCTTTTTTGAAACCAGAGGCCTAAATGTTTGTGCTCGGAAAAATAATTATTTTTACATAGATAATCTTCGACTGGTTAATATCGCTTCACTAATATCACTAATTGGGCATTTCCTGAATTCCCCGAGAGAATTCAAATAATACCATATCAATGTATTTCATTTTTAAATTTCACTTATCTCACTAATTGAGCACTTTGTTGAAACAAACTATGGCTCATCTGGTTTGAGTGTTAAAAAAACACCAACCCCAGTCAGCCAAATCCCACTCTGGCTATGTGAGACACCTGTGTTGACAGAGTCTGGCTAAGTGAGAGGACACCTTGGGTAAATCTGGATGGCTTGGTGTGGTACTGTTATATAAAGCTGGCTTTACAAATTGGCTTGGGAGATGAGAACCAGTCTTAACACACTCTGAATACACGAGCTTACTTCGCGTACACATGCAATCAATTTTTCCATCAACTTCACGTACATTTTTGCCAATACGAGTTATGGTCGAATCCAATGTATCTTTTGTGACTCTGAAATCAATGTCTTTTTGTTCAAGCTGTTTCTGTAATTTCTGCCTTAAGTGCTTTCTCATTGGCACGATGACGTTTATTTTCAATAACCGGTGCAGGGTATGTCAAGTCTGCATGAACCTGGTCTTGGAGCTACCACAAAGTCAAGGAAAGGAAGATAAAGCGACTAATAAGAGCTGGTCTTTCTGTTGCCCACTGTGATGAACAGATGTCAAAGTGTTGAATTTGTTATGTTTTTAGTTATTACATATGCACGTTCATAATGTGTAAATATGGGAATTGTAAAGTTGGACATGATGTGATATTGTGTCTTACGTAAACAGAAAATAACATACATTTTTTATCTACTGATTATCATTGGACAAAGAAAGTCATATTCAGATTTGTTAATGAATAAAACACTTCATATATGGCTGTAAATATATCTTTATTAGAAGTTAACATGGTTGATAAGACAACATTAAAATACAGATCATAGCAGATATTTGTTAGTTATCTTTGCCATTATCACACAGCTAACCTGTTTAGCCAAACATCCTTCCTACTACTTTCAAAACACATGAACAAACATTACAAGTATGCTCAAGTATTTTCCAACATCAACAAGAATTTACAATCTCTAACACCAGAAAAAGAAATTTGAGGAAATTCTATTGCTAAATCTAAACAAATGAACTTCAAATAAGCAAAGGTGGTATGGTTATAGTGGCAATTATAATTCGGGCTTCCAAATTACGTGTTTGGGAATCTGACAACTGGCCATGGTCATTCATTCTACCAATGAAAAAAAGTGTCATGACAGGTTGTTATGACTTTACCTTAACCTGTATTTGGGTGCATGCTCATCATGTAGCAGACTGTGGACTTTTGTCCCTTGGATGCGAACCACTTCTCGCAATCACCACATTCAAATTCTTTGGCTTCACTTTTGATTTATTAGAGAAAGACTTGTCACAGTCATGACACTTGTATTCCTCGCCAGCATGCCCCTTAACATGCTCGCGCATACCAGGATACCGAAATGTTGTAACTTTACTGCAAACCTTACACTTGACAACACCGGTCTGTCTGTGTACTTTAGCAACATGTTCCTTTAGCGTTTGGTTGATAAGGAAAAACTTCCCACACAATTCACATGAGAATGTGACATCTTTAGTGTGGCTCCTCACTTGCAGGTTCAAGTAGCCTTAAGTCTTGACAATCTTCCCTCGGGTCCCACACTGTTAAGATGGGTTATTAGCAGGTTTGTGCTCAGTCTCTGCTGCAACAAACAATGTCTCATCTATCCTGGAAGCTTGATCGGTGTCTCATCTAAGTGAGACACATCCAGGAAACTTGTGTCATCTTGTTGCTCAAGTCTTGAACACTTCTGCAGACTGTGATTTGTAAGTGTCAAACCAAGAGAATAACATTATGAAATAAATTCAGAAAATATTAATCAAAATTAATTAATATGAGTTATATTTTAAACATGGATTGAAAGGGTGTGTGTGTTATGTTTGTCACATATCTTTACAATCTAATGTAACCGAAAAAGAGAACTGAAACTGAAGGGGAATAATCTACCTCTTTGTGTGTGAATCGCAGTTGGTGACTCTGGCACATTGGAAGACTTTGGTATTGGCAAGACTCCATGTATAATCTCTGTCGACGGAGTTTCGGGAACAGTAGGGAGGTCACAACTATCAGACATCACGCCCATCTGTCCACCAGATCCCATCACACTCGGCGACTGTGTATTTACCAAATAAACATGGTGGTCTGGTAAGTGTATCTGTTAAACAAAGTAATATAGGTTCAATCACAATTAGACACGAATAAAATGCATACTGTTTGCACTCACTTCCAGTTTTAAAATGAATACGTTCCAAATATGGGGCAAAATACAACTTCGGTCTCTCCGACGTAGACAGTCAATGAAAATATTGCTCAAGTCGTCATCGAGCGTGCCAGCTCCCCTTCCACAAAATCCTGAATACCATTGGCAGCCTCATTCTGCCGACCTCAGCTTGAAATCCGTTCGACTTCCATACAAAAACGCAGATAATGGACACAAAATACATTTTTTACGAAGATGAAGTATTGCTATCAAAGGGGGGTATTAACGTGCGTTCAATGCACACTACCTTCTAAATCAGAATTACATTATGTGCGTTAATTGAAACACTTACCCTTTTCTCTTCTCCTCTGTCGGCAGCCATTTTTCGCGCGCTGTGACGACAGGAAGTGTTGTGATGTTCCATGAAACGCGAAATTATTGGAGATGACCGAAAGTTTTCGGCTGCCGATGCTTTAAGTTCCAATAGCGGCTGTATAGTGCTTCCGATGCCAACCGCTTTTACAACGATAGTTGCTGCATTCACAACACATTTAATGCTATTCCTTCGCATGTGGTAGCTTAACACACGATATAGTTTACTTTCATCCAATAATGCTTCTTTTTAGTCAAATAGATAGGAGGGCCTGGTTATGTGACCATTGGTTACTTTGAAACAACATTTCGTTCTATAGTTTAACACAACATCAACGCAGAAACACAGCCGCAGAAGCTGAATAATCACTTCAGACAAACAAAATGTAATTTATGTTTTATATTTTACGTTTAATTGGCTGTTAGAAATGTCCATGACGTTACATGGAAATCCTTCAAAATAACGTGTTAGTCCCGTTTGAATGTCTGCATGCGAACAGAGCAATGTCCATTCTATTGATTTCATTGTCGATCATGCCACTTTTTCACCCTAACGTAAATGACTAATAGTGTTATATATATTTTATACGGATATTTCTTACGGAATCATTAATTAAAATGATAAAACAATTTAATATGTTGATGAAATTGAAATGTACGTTTTGTCAACTTTACAGATTGTTCTTTAACTTACTCTAAATAAGTATGAATCCAAATGTCAACAAATGTTTTATCCCAATGTCTCATTGTGTAATTGTTGCTTGTAGATATCCCAATGTTACACGACTGTCTAGCCTATGTTTCCAGTTTCCAGAATATCTTTCACTTCTCTTTTTGATTACACATCCGGTACAATGATTTTTAATGGTTTTGCCATCTTTGGCGTTTAATAAAAAATCAATCCTTGGATTTAACAAGAACGTAAGTTTCAACGTAATATACGACACGCTGTAGAACTGTAAGATGGTAAAGGTGTTTAACAGTTAAAGCCAAACTATATTCATTCCCATTGTGTGTGATATATCTTAATGCAATAATTAAATGAGAACTGACATTATTAAAAAAGATCCTTCATAGTTCGTGATTTGAAATAGATATCCCTTGTGATGGAATATTCAACACACAGTCAAGCAGGACATGCTTTACCGTGATTCTTTCATCACAAAGGGATGCAAACTCGGAGGATCCTCACCTTTCAATAGGTACTCATGAGTATATCTTGAGTGGCCAATACGACATCATCGTATGATGACCTCTTCAAATCTGGACTGACAACCCAAGTAGGTGTAACCTATTGTTGGTTTTATTGCATGTAATTTATTGATTCCTACTTGGGTGTCCCACTTCTTTTTGCATCAGATCACGGATGTAAGTTCTAATGCTAGCTTTGTAATCAGAGTATGGGATAAGAAGTGGTGTCACAGATTTGTTGAGTGCTGCCTTAGCAGCAAAATCGGCTTATTTTGTTTCCAGAAATGCCAACGTGGCTTTGGTAAACAACAGAAGACGATGTCGTATTGGCCAGTAGCAAGATCATTATATAATTCAATAATTTCGATTAAAAGTGGATGTTTGCAAGAAAGATTTTTGATAGCCTGAAGGCAAGAAACAGAATCGGAAAAGATTATCACTGATTCTCAATAAATGGGCGCATTTAACCATATCAAAAGCCGAAAAATAAAGTTCATGTATACTCATTAACTATAAGATTATTTCAGAGTAGAGTATTAGGTACATGATATACATGTATACATGATATACAAGAAGAGTTGTCAAATAATTGTTTTTAAACATACTGTTTTTCGACTCAAAGTAATGCTTCGAGTTTCCAAAAATGTAGCTTAGTAATGTACGTTACAGTGAAAGCGGTACTCAAATACGGTGATTAGTATTAAACAGAGATATTAAAGATATATTTTCTTCTTCTTTACTGTAGTGGAGAATATTCTGGTGTTAAAAAACATATAACTGTCATGAATATCAAAGAAGAGTTCCAGTCGAGATCTTCAAAGGTCACTTATCTTTTCGGCCCAAAACTATGTCAGCGTAATTTCAAACTACATCATTTGGTTTACGTGGTGTCCACAAAATACACATGTTTAGACACAAGAACATTTCTAGAAGTCGACAATTCAACGATTATCTACGCAATAATTTCAAAATAAAGTATTCAAATGTGTTCGTTTTTAAAAAGGATTCCACGAACATATACGTATATGAATTGTAAAGTACATTACTGCCTTTATAGCACAGTTCTGAAATTACGAATTTTCAGTTTAATACTGCCAATTTCACTTCAACAGACAGAACAAATTAAGATGAGGTAAAACGACATAAATCGTTTCAAGCAACCTTTATTTTTCAAATTGGTAAAATCATCTCTCACATCCAAGTTTGATACTAAAAACATACTGCCGTGACTCTCATTCGTAGCGCATATTTTACTATCAGACTATGGCTCTATGAATTGTAATCATCTATACAATCAGTAAGGTTTGATTGAGAAACAAGCAAACACACTTTCGATGAACTCCTTGACAACTTTCATGGTAGTGCCATTTAGAGATAGTTAACGGTCTTTATGCGGTTTGTATTTACGGCAGAAATGTATACAATTAGTTTTGGATTTAGATCATTTAAAGCCGTTTTCAAGACACCATTTATTTATTTTGTTTAAACACAACTGCAGTTGCCGGTCAATACTATGCATATTTTTACCACGACAAGAAATATTAAAATCATCCACAAAAAGAGATCAATCGATAGAATCATTTAAAACCTTGGATAAACTGTTGATCTTGATACGAAATAAAGTGACAGACAAAATACTGCCTTGTGGGACACCCTGATCCTGATTGTAATGATCAGACAGGGTAGAACCCACGCGGACTTGAAATTGTGTGTCATTTAAAAAGTAAATAAGGGAAACAGCCTCGTAATCCCAAGCCATGTAAATCTTTTAAAATGCCATATTTCCACGTTGTGTCATATGCTTTTTCAAGATCAGAAAAGATAGACACGGCGTGTTGTTTATTAATTAAAGCGTTTTTAACAAATGATTCCAAACGCACTAGGTGATCGACAGTACTTCTGTTTTTTACGGAAACCACATTGTATATCTGTTATAAGGTTATTTGTTTCCAAGTACCAAACAGGTCGATTATTTATCATTCGTTCCATGGTTTTGCAAACGCAGCTAGTTAGTGAAATCGGTCGATAATTGGACGGATCCGTATGATCACGTCCAGGTTTAGTTATTCGTACTACACGTCACGCCATGAGGCAGGACATTTCCTTGACGTCCAAATATGATCAAAAATGTGTAAAGAGCGTCTCTAAACACGATTCTGGTAAGTGCTTCAGGAGTTGATAATGTATATTATCAGCTCCTGTAGCAGTATCGTGAACTTGATCAAGAGCAGTATGGAGTTCATGGATAGAAAATGTTTCATTATAATCTTCCCCATTATCTGAATTGAAATTAATAGTTTTCTTTTCTTGTTGTTTTTGATATTGTTGGAATTTAGGCACATAGAGGCAGAGTGTTTAGCAAGAGTTTCACCCAGTTTATTCGCAATCAATTGGTAAGTAATTGATCTCCATGTTTGAGATGATGGACACTAGATTTGATCTCCATGTTTGAGATGATGGACACTAGATTTAGTACCTTTACCTTTAATTTTCTGGACCATGTTCCATACCTTGGACATGGGCGTTCGAGAATTTATTTTGGATACATAATTTTGCCAAGATTGGCGTTTATTCTGTTTAAAAGTATGCCGCGCTTTAGCATTTAACATTTTAAACTTTAATTTTAAATTATGCACCATAGGATGGCGATGGAAATAATGTTCTGCTTTTTTCTTTGCCTTCCTAGCTTGTTTGCACTCATCATTGAACCATGGTTTTCTGATATGTGGAATTGCAGAGAACTGTGGTATACACTCATCAGCTATGGTATTCAGTTCATTAGAAAAACATTTGATAGCATCAGGAACGTCAATAAAAAGTTCAGGTTTAAGTTTTGTAGCACACAGTGTTTCATATAAAGGCCAGTAAGCCTTTTTAAAACTCCGCCTTGATGATTATCATCAGAACGAGTTACAGGTTTTAGTATAGTAGGAAAATGGTCACTTCCACAGAGGTCGTCGTAGACTGACCATTCAAATTCATTTAGTATTTCTGAATTTGTGACTGACAAGTCGAGAGCAGAATAGGTTCCTGTACCAGGGTGTAATTATGTGTTGGAAACATCATTATAAATACATAAATCATTATCTGAACAAAACTTCTCTAGTAATTTACCTTTAGCGTTTGTATGTGCACTACCCCAGAGTGGGTTGTGCCCGTTTAAATCTCCCATAATAATTCAGGGCTTCGGGAGTTGGTCATATAGAGCTTGAAGATCAGCTTTGTGAAACGTTGAAGACAGAGATATATAGAGAGAGCATAATGTTAACGCAACGTGCAAAGTTAGTCGCACTGCAACAGCCTGAAGATTAGTAGTAAGTGCAACAGGGCTATGAATAACGTTCTGTTTGACTAGGATGGAAAATCCTCCAGTGGCCCTGTCACCCAGAGGTGAAAAACAATGGTATGCATTGAAAGAAAGCAGGACAAAAGCATCTGTCTGTTTTAAATAGGTCTCCTACAGACAGAACGCTGATGGTGTTAAACCCTGGACTAAAAGTTGTAATTCACTGAAATTAGTCCTCAGTCCTCTATAATTCCACTGTATAATATGATTGTGATGAACTGTATTTTGGGAGCACATACAGCGGACAATGTGCAAGTATTTACGCCATGACCACACTTTGACATTTGAAGCACCTTAGAGGGTTCGGAATGTATGTGTCAACATTGATGTTACAAAAACCTGCCTTTAGAGATTGTGGAGCATTTGGTGACGAAAATGAAAAGAGGTAGGTATTTGTTTTTTATAACACCATCGGCTGTGAAACATTTGACATAGAGTACGCCTTGATCTTTCATCTCAGAGACGATGTCAAGTTCCGACATATCTGCAAACAATCAATCACGGTCTCTGATGATTCCCTTGCTCGTGCTTATTGTTTTATGAGCCGTGACGGTGACCGGAACGCCGACAAACGATTCTGTAGTCATAAGGTTGGTGGCTTGTTGCCTTTTCCCACACTCAACCGACAGAGCACCGGAACGAAAACGTTTAATATTCTTGACATCACCAGCAATGCCCTGTATACCCTTAGATATGGCAAAAGGGTTCAACTTCAATGGAGTCTTGTCAACAGTTTCAATAACAAGAAATCGTGGCCAGTATTCAATGGACGTGGACAGTCATTGATCATTATCAACTGGATCAGTGTCTAGTGGACGTTTTGCTTTTTAAGGGGGGTTTCGTAAGCCATGGTTAATTTTTCAAGGTTGTCATCCGAGCTCCCCACCCAACACGGAGTATCACAAGGACAATGCTAAAAACAAGCGGATCTCCGACTTGCAGCCTCAAGGATACCCGGATGATATACTCCAGCAGAAAAATTAAAAGATTAATGATTCCACCAGATTGGCCCATGAGCCACCGCCTTCCGGGCATACGACTCTAGTCAAAAACATACATGAAATTGTATATTTAAAGTTTTGTGTTCAAAAATTCGCCAAAACCTGAAAAAATATTTTGTAATAATTCTCAAATTAGTGCCCTCACCACCAGACTCCCTTCCTCCACCGACACAGGGGCGCAACCCACTGCAAACGGGTTGGTGGACCAAATATACCCAACAACGGGGAATTGAAGAGCGCTTAGCGTTACCCAGCACCCACCACGAGGAGGTGGCTCTTCACGGGTGCCCTCAGAGATAGATGTCAGTGCTGAATCTCCAGAGACAGATGTCAGTGCCGAATCTCTGGGATTGATGTCAGTGCTGAGGAAACAGAAAGAGATGTCACCATGGTAATGGAATGCGGTGGACTTCCGTTCTTTAAATTGATTCCGGGCAGTCACAAAAGGTATCGGCACCCGTGAAGAGCCACCTCCTCGTGGTGGGTGCTGGGTAACGCTAAGCGCTCTTCGACCCTCCGTTGTGGACCTGGGGTATATTTGGTCCACCCGTGCCGTGGGGTTGCACCTGTGTCGGTGGAGGAAAGGAGTCTGGTGGTTGAAACAATAGGTTCCAGGAACAGTGTTCCTTTGCCCAACACACCACTTCGGCCCTGACTTCACCTAGACGGGTGGTAGAATCGGCCCGATTCTATCAATCGGCTGGCCACGCCATGCCCTGTGCATAGAAATTATTTTTTGCACATTTAATTATTGGGTATTGGTCATTTTTGATTTGACATATACAAATGATTGCTATATTAAATAGCCTAGAGTCCTATGCCAGAAGGCGGTGGCTCATGGGACAATCTGGTGATTATGACCTCTAAATTCTGTATGTCTCCAAGTTTCTGTCAGAGCCGAACCAGCGTGACATTATACATCTCAAAAAAGAAACGCAACCCCTATCTAAATATCTGACATCATTTCTAGAATAAAGATGGTGAATGTAAATTAGAATTTTCTTCAAAATACTGTTAATACGTTCCCATCTGATCAGTATAAGCTCCCAAACGGAACCATTTTCACACATGATGACCTTTGTATCCGTGTTATTTGGGAAAGTGCGAAATTGTCCTGTACAAAATGCTAAAAGCCTGTTGCACGTGCAAATCGTTGAAAACACAGTTCATGTAGAGGGTTTTAAAAGCACGCGTAGTTTGTAATTTTTCTCTCATAATTTGCTCTACCAAATCAAGTTCGAAAATGCCCCGTTTGAGTACAGCAAATCGAAATATTGCCATTGGTCGCATTGAGGCCGGGGAAAGCTTTGGAACAGTTGCCCGTCATCTAAACGTACACAAACAACAATCTCTCACGACTTTGGAATCGTTACACACAGTTCCATGCAATTGAAGATCGTCCCAGGAGCGGTAGACCTAGGATCACCACACCGGCTCAGGATCGCTTTATTCGACTCAGCCACCTACGTAATCGGCATGCCACACCCACCATCACTGCAACACAGGTGCCAGGTTTGAGGAGAGTATCCGCCCAAACCATCAGGAACCGTTTACATGAGGCAAATTTACGTGCAAGAAGACCAGTTGTTGGGCCCGTCTTGAAACGCCAACATCGACGCCAACGTCTCAGGTGGTGTACTAACGTAAGGAGATGGACCCTAAGAAACTGGAGAAGAGTCTGGTTTAGTGACGAGTCTCGTTTTCTTCTTCAACGACGTGACGGTAGACAACGTGTCTATAGACGAGCAAATGAACGTTTTGCACCGAACTGCGTTCGACAGGTCGACAGATTTGGAGGAGGAAGCATCATGGTATGGGGAGCCATGTCTTACAACCAACGGTCAGACTTGGTCATCATTCGTGGCAATTTGACGGCACAACGGTACATTGATGACGTCTTACAGCCACATCTTCTGCCGATAATCGACCAACAGAGGGAGTTGTTTCAACATGACAGCTCGCCCTCATACAGCTCGTGCAACAGTGGCATTCCTACAGAATTCAAACGTCAACGTGATGCCGTGGCCCTCCAGATCGCCAGACATCAATCCTATCGAACATCTGTGGGACCAGCTGGATCGTCGTGTTCGTGCACGTACACCACAACCGCACACGTTGGTTGAACTGGCCGCAGCACTCCAGGAAGAGTGGAGAGCAATCCCCCAGGAAAACATCCGCCGTCTGATTCGTTCTGTTCCGAGGAGGTGCACTGCTGTGATTAGAGCTCGTGGCTCTACAACGAGATACTGAAGACAACGCCCCCTAGCGTAAATTGAGAGTTCGATACTGATCTGCATTAACTGTTACCTTATACCGTGCTGACCTAAGGTTCACCATGTCAAATTTCATGGCATTATCTTTAAAAATACAAATGTAATAACCAGTTAAAATTGATATAAACATTACAAAAAAAAACAGGGGTTGCGTTTCTTTTTTGAGAGAGTGTATTGGTAGACAAATAAAGCTATTTATGTCGTATTTACTGGAGTATATCACCCTTGTATCCCTGGTGTTTGCATGCTGGATATCCGCTGCAGATAGACACTGTCCTTGTTGACACTCGGTGGCGGGTGGGGAGCAGGAGTGCTGAACATCTTCGATACATCATGAGTCAAATACATTCTGGTTCCGCTAGAAATGACAAGAAAAGGCGTCTGGAGGCTGATATTTCAGTTCCAAAACAACAGGGCAAGTGGTCAAAATTTATAGTCGTTGAGGCTACAAATGGTGAACCCCTCAAATTAAATCCTTTTTTGATTTCCAAGATTATCCAATCTATATGTGGAAAAGTCAAAAACGTCTCCTGTCTCCGAGGTGGTCAGCTCCGTGTGGCATGTGCAAGGAGACAACAATCAATTGATCTGTTACAACAACAACATTTTGCAAATGTCAGCGTTAAGGTCACTGAACATAAAACACTCAATTCTAGCAGAGGCATTGTTCGGGACAGAGCCCGTTGTTTGTCGGACATGTCAGTGGAGGAAATCGTCGACGAACCTCAAGATCAACATGTCACGTCTGTAAAGCGCTTCAAGCGGTGGGGGTAGCCTAATGGTTAAAGCGTTTGTTCGTCACGCCGTGAAGACCCGGGTTCGAATCCCCACATGGGCACAATGTGTGAAGCCCATTTCTGGTGTCCCCGCCGTGATGTTGCTGGAATATTGCTAAAGTGGCGTAAAACCAAACTCAGTCAGTCAGTCAGTGTAAAGCGCTTCACAGTCAAGAAACAAGATGGTAGAACAGTTCCAAGCAACACTTATCTGTTTACGTTTTCACTGAGCACAGTCCCTAAATCAATAAAAGCTGGTTATTTCAATATCGGAGTGGAGGTGTATATCCCCACTCCACCCGATGTTATACATGTCAGAAGTTTGGACATGGTTCAAAATCCTGCCGAAATATTCATCGTTGTCATCGTTGCTGTGAGGATCATGAAGATGCTGACTGCAGCAAAGATTAAATGTGTCAACTGCGGCAGTGATCATGTTTCATCTTCAACAGCCTGCCCTGAATGGCAGATTCAATAAAAATCCTGAAGTTGAAATATGAAAATAATAATTCCTTTTTTGGGGCCAAAAACAAGTACATCAAATGCAGTCGAAGCCATCTTCCCGACGGTTGGTTATTCAGCTGCTGTCTCCAGAAGAAACCACATCCAGTGTCGGTTTCGTACCAAACCGGTTTGACTTGGGACTAAAACCAAACATCCTATCTCTGTGCTGAAACTACTTGTAGCCAGCCAGACCACTGTGACATCAATACCTCTCCTCAGACTGTCAGCCAACCAAGAGCAAACGATTGCTCGAACCCAACTGTTAATGTTGAGGAAAATGTTGCTGTGTCGAAAACTCATCGGAACCGCTTCAATCGGATGCAAACGTAAAAAACTCCCTCTACTGTAGAGACGTGCCGTAACAATGAGGGTTCACAGCTCCTTTGAACCCCCTGGATATGGAGGTATCTCCACCTGAAACTTACAAACGCAGAAGTTCTTCCTCACGTTACTCATGAGAGAGGTCACCCATAGAACCACCATGAGATAGAGTCCTAATCTAATACAATTAGATTGCAGAAGTGTTAAGACCATTTTAAATGATCTGCAATTATTATCACAAGATTTTAATACCATCGGCCTTTAGTTTACAGGAGACATACCTGACAGAAATTGCCGATGGGAATTTGATTTTCGTCGGTACGAATTCCTTTCATTCGTTTCCGGGTGAAAGCCACTGGAAAGCACTTCAGTTTTTGGTGAGGCGGAAGGTGATTCATGGCCCTGTCACTCTTAAAAAACGATCTTCGAAACATTTAACATTAAAAGCACTTTCTTTTGCAAACAGCATTCACGCGCTGCTCCGCTATACGTTTCTCCATCTTCGGCTCTTCAGCGGTCCAGTCTTCGGGATCTCTTCGATCCAGCTACCCAAACCCTGTATTATCATGGGTGATCTTAACGGGCACTACCTGGCCATACGGCGGTGCCGATGCCCCAACAATAAAGGGGGAAAATCCTCGAAGACTTCATTTCACAATAATGAATTTGTATGTTTAACGATGGATCAGCCGCATATTTGCGTGCAGGATTTAGAACTTATTCTGCGCCCAGATCTGTATATAACACGAATCCCAGTATTTTATAACTTGAATTTGAATGAATTCGGTCCACGGCTGACCTGTGTGGAAGTGTCCATTTCCCTAGTTCGTCCAGCTAAATATGTGGGATCTGTAAGAAGACGAATCAGATGCGAAATCTTCAGGATCAGATGCAAACTGATCCATGACTGTTATTATGAAAATGAAGTCTTCGAAATGAATTTCCTTTGTGTTCAATATCGATACTTCCACAAAGGAATTATTATTAAAGATCACCGTAATATACGAGAGGTTTTGAAGCTGATCGAATCACGATGGATCGAGACTAATGGAAACGAATGAATATGGTAAACAAAAGCGTGATATTCCAGCAGAAAGGCAGAACAGTAACAGACGAAATTTTGCTTAAGACATGAATCTTCACCAAACAGTGGGCTGGCGCAATGAAAAATTGTGCGACGAAAATCAATTTATCATTTCGAGCATGTCCTGTCAAACAAGGCTGATGATTTAAAATAACTGGCGATAATGAGCCAGCCAGTCGTAAAGAGTGATAGATATCTCCAGTTCACTGGACCAGATTGGATACTGTCTCATGATGATTCTATGGTGACACTATGATCACGAAGAGAACTGTGAAAAGTACCTGTTTTTGAATACCTCCGCTAGTCAGCGTGAACACTATTGTTACGAACGTCTGACGATGAGGTTTTGTTTGCATCCGATGAAAAGCGATTTCCGAATTGACTTTCGACTGCGGCAACATTTTCATCAACATTAACGGTTGATACCGAACAATCGTTTATACTGAATGACTGTTTGTCGACTTTGATATTGATGACTCTGTATTACGAAGCCAGTTGCACAGAAGGCTTCAAGTGTTTGGTTTTAGTCAAGTCGAAATCGGTTTGGCGCTCGGCTGCTGATAGTTTTCTGAAGAACAACAACTGAACTAACTAACTTTGTCGAAGATGGCTTCGACGACGACTATCAACCTTGTTTTTTGACACTCAAAAGGATTACCGTTTTCATGTCCCGGCTACGGGAGATTAATCTTGAATCTGCGATCGAAAGGCGAGCTGACGAAAAGATGAAACATGATCTGCTGCCGCGGTTCACATTTGGAATCTTTGCTGCGTCAGCATCTTAATGTTACTCACAACGATGTTTTAACAACGATGGTATTTCGGCAGGATTTGAGCCGTATCGACTTTCACGACATGTATAACATCGAGGTGGGTGGGATAGCCCTGCTCCCTCCGATATTAAATAACCGGCGTATCAATGTAAACGTAAACAGTGTTGCTGGAATTGATTCTACCATCTTGTTTCTTGACGTGAAGCGCACGCTGACTGACGACTTTATTTACCACTTTAACAATATTCAACAACATCGACTACACACATTATTCTTCATATTCGTGGCTGCTGACTTCACCAGACTACCCGCTTCAACGCTGGCGTGAACATGTTGATCTTGAGGTTCGTCGACTCCGCTAACATGTCCGACAAACAATTCTGTCAATTGAGTATTAAGTGACCTTAACATGACATTTGCAAAATATTGTTGTTGTAACCGTCCAGTCGGTGTTATCTTCCTTGCGCATGCCGCGAACTGTTTCTCAGAACGAGGGTTTGATTTTGACATATGAACGGATAATCGAAATTTGTTGAGGGGTTCACCATTCGCCGGCCTCAACGACTATAAGTACGACCGCTAACCCTGTTGGAACAATCGGCCTCCGAACGCCTTTTCGTTCTAGCGAACCGAAGCCTGTGTTGACCTTATCGAAGATGAACTCTACCCGCCATCGTCGGCTGGACAGTCGTCTATGCGGCAGATCATCAACGTACTGTACCGATGAAATTGATAAATGCGACGTAAACCTAAGCATTTATTCACCAATACGCTCTCTCAAAGAAACGCGGCTTATTTTGTGTGTTATATCGATTGCAACTTCGGTTATTTGTGACACGAACAATTATACGTAATTTGACATGTTAACTAGTCGGCACGTGGACGATGCGGTCGGTATCGACTCTCCCGGTACTGGGGGCGTTGATATTTCGGTATCTCGTTGACGAGAGCCACGGCTCTAATGCAGCGGTGCCTTCTCGGGAACGAAGGTAATCGGGCGTGCGGTCCTGGGGGGTGCTCTCACTCTTTCCTGAGTGCTGCGGCCAGTTCAATGGCGTGTTAGCGGTTGTGTTTGTGCGATGCGCGAGCTTGCGACGTTGACTGTCCACGAATGTTCGTCAGGATTGATCTGATCTTGACGTCTGGTATCACGTTGACGTTTGAGTACTGTGAATACTTGCGCGGTATGAGGGCGAGGGCGTATGTTGAGCAACTTTTCTGTTGATCGTTATCGGCGAAGATATTGACGTGAACGTCGTCGATATGCCATTGCCCGTCAGCCCTTGCGAATGATGACCCGTCTACGACAGACCCGGACTGTGAATGACCACAATACTGTCGATAACTGCTCACTCAATCTGTCGACCTGATCGAACTGCGATTCGGTATAGTGATTCAGGCACAACTCGTCTGGGCTGCGTTGTCTACTGCGTCGTTGACGTCGCTTAAACCAGACTCTTCTCCCGATAGCGGGGACCATCGTTAGTGCGGACGTTGACGTCGTGTTGGCGTTTC